TTCCGATCATTTTGCAACATAACAAAAAATTAGTTTTTTCAAGGTACTTCGATAATACTTGCCATATTGAAAATATGAATTTCTACGGTATATATGGTACAGGCACCGTGCAATTATGTCCATTTCAACTCGAAACACTTGAGATGAGTGTAAACTATTTTGAGAGATACATTTTGACAAAGCGCATCAAAATTTGAGGAGGCCAAAATCAGACCTTATCGATACTCATCCTTTTATATTTGTTCAATTCTCATATTCAAAATTTAAAATTTGAAATATAAATTTCTAAAGCATGATCAGATATTAACAATGCATAGATTTAAAAGAAGCATAAAATATAACAAGTTACAACCTCATTATACGGGGTATCTTCTGGAAATGTTACGTGAGCACTAATCACAGCAAGAGCTACGCTGTCACCTCGTTCATAAACAGTATCAAAAGGAGATTTAAAATAACATAATGCATACAATATACATCCCAACGACTAAAAAAGATATATATTAAATTCAAAGCACATGTCATTTATATGAAGACAAATGTGGAAGCTTTGTAACTCTTACCCAAATATCTGTTCGTTCATCAACCATACAATAACTTTCAACGTTAAATAATTCTGGAGCTCTATATGGCATGGAACATCTTTCAGCTGCTAAATCCTGTAAAGTCCTTGCAGCTTGAGTACCACATACTTGAACTCTAGCAATTGTTACAGAACCTAAAAAGTTGTTTTGTATTTAATAACCAATTATATATATATAATTGTTAAAACATTAATAATAAAATAAAATTTAACATACCCAAATCCATAATAACAGGCATCCCATCATCACTGAGCACTATATTTGCGGTTTTTAAATCTCTATGAGCAAGAGGTTCTGGTTTAGCCTCATGAAATGCTTTTACACCTTCACATATCTGTAAAAAAATGCTGAGGATATCTGTAGGATTCATATAATCGCAAATTTTTGCTCGTCGTTCCAAATCATTTGCCAAAGTTCCTTTCTAAAATTATAGTATCAATTGGTAGTTGATTAAAAAATATATCATATTTTAAATATTATATTTTATTAAGAACAGATTAACTTACATAATAATATGGTAAAACAATTAACATTTCACTCGTTGTATTCATAAGTGGGTCTGCAGTACCTTTGCAAGTCCAATCTATACATTCTATAACATTTGGATGTTTTAACAATTTATAATACTCAACTTCCTTTGTTGCTAATTGTTGATCTTCTGGTCCATGACAAACAATTTTTTTAATAGCGTACTTTTTATGTGTAATAACATCTTCAACTAAAAGTACTGTGCTAAATCCACTAAAAATATAGTGCAAAACTATATTTGTACTGCCAGTTAACAGAATTTTTAAGGTTATAATAAAAGTAATGAGATGCTATATTACTTTTTGCATAAACAAAATTCTGTTTTCTTGTGTTAAATAAGTTTAAATAATTAGTTTAGAAATAATTCTATGTTAACATTATTACACAATATACATTATGTAATAAATTGTGCTATTATCAATAAATATAACTAAATGCTTGATATGTATACTTACCCATCTCCGAGGTGCTCGCAGACCTTATATTTTTTCGAATTTATCGTAATGATCTCTTTAGTGCATATGCAACCCATTCTCAAAATTATATTTAAACCTAAGCTATTCATTCTCGTTGTTTACTATCATTGTGATAAAAACAAAAAAAATTTTGCGAGGATTATTTCGCTGTTTTCACTCTCAATATATAAACATTGCGATGTGTCATTAAGGCCTGTGTCCACGATTTCCTTCTTCTAATATAGGCTTCCGTTTCCACTAGACCTCTTCTTCCAGAGCATGGTGGAAGGGATAGCATGGTGTGCATAGAGTTCCTCAAGTAAGAGTTAAGACACCGAAGTGATGATTTTTGATTGGTACATCCGTTCCGCCATATGTAATAGGCAAAAAGAAGCGGGAATGTGTAATTTTAGAAACGAAGGTAAAGTCTTTGGTATTGCAGATGATATTATAAACGGTTATATTCAGAAAAGTAAGTACAAATAAAAAATGTATTATTATATTTAAATTTAAATTATATTAATATTAGTTTTTACTCGCGGCTTTGCTCGCGTGGTCATATGTCAATTTGTTTAGGTTAGATTAATCAAACCACTTAGAAATCTGCAGATTTCTAAATTGTTTAA